CCTGTCCGTCGTCTCGCTGGCCGGCTGTGAGCCAAACTCTCTTGGCAGGTCCGCCGCAGCTGCGCTGGTGGGGGATCCTGTCTGCCACGCTTCGCCGTCGCGCAGAACCGGGTGGCCCGTTGGCCAGAGGCCGGAGGACGTGGTGTGCCTCGGTGAAGGATGCACAGTGTCCCAGGAGAGACCATTCCGCGCCATCTGTCTGCGCCCATCTGCGCTCGTCGCTGGTTACGGCGAACCATTTGTTGACGATGTGTCCATGTAGCTGCGACCAGGCAGCGACATAGACCACCCGACCGAAGTAGCGAGCCCGCAATCGAGGAGGCTCTCTCACCGCTCGATTGAATAAGTCGGCTGCCCTGGAGTCAGTCATAACCTTGGAGCCGGGTCTGAGGGGCTCTTGCCGGGGCGGAAATTCCCGTGCCCATTTCCCATTTCGCGAGTTTGTTCCACCTTCTCCCGGCCTTCTGTCGCGACTGGGGCGGGCCCCGCAGGTCGTCCAGGACGCGGGCTCTGGCTGCGGTCGCACGCGAGGTGGCGACCGGGCACTTGGGGCAGCCAGGGACCTGGAACCGGATGCCCAAGCCAGGAGAATGTTGTCGGGGATCCAGGAAGCAAAGGCCAGGCCGAGAGCGACTCTAAGGTGGGCACGAAGCGTCCTTTCATGAACGGTGTCGGGGAGAGAGTAATGCGAGGGGTAGGGGATGAGCGCAATCAGATATGTATTCCAGGCAAGAGCGGTTTTGTTAGGCGACATGTTGGCCAGGTGCAGGGCCACGGCTCTGTCCCGGAGTTTGGGGAGCGGTTTTCCCCAAGTGCCCGCGACGAGAGCGTCGAGCTGTCCTCGGGTCACGGTGCCCCTGGGCGGTGAGGTCTCTCCTTCGGCAGCCCGAGATACGACGCAGGCGCCGAGGTAGGGCCACTAAGGCCGCACAGCGGACGAGCCGAAGGGGGCGTAGTCCATGGCGCGCCCCCACCACTCGTGGTTGCTGGCTGGAACAAGCGCCGTTTTGAAGTTGCACCTGCAGGGGCAGCTCCAGGGAGTGCACAACGCGGCGCTGTCCGGCCCTCCGACCCGTCTGATCATGTCCAGTATAAGTGCCTCCGGAAGGCCCGTGACCGTCGTCGTGGTGCCATTGTCAGTGAAGTCCACGGGGGCAGTTGCCAGGAGTTGCCTGACGTCGACCCTGCACTGTGCCTCGATTCCCTTGCACTTGCGGGCTTCAACCAGGAGTCCGGCCGCCCTTGCAAGCCACGGCAGCGCAATGCCAGCACGGAGTGTTTGGGCTGTGGCGCCTAGTAGCGCGGCCAGGTCGCCCACGCACGTCGGGTCACCCGACCCTGTGATGTTTGCAAGGGCGCAGATGAGAAGGTCATAGCCCAGGCACCAGAGGAGCGGGGAGGCGGCGCCCCCCATTCCGATGGAGCGGAGGAGCCTCCTTATCCTGCTCTTGCATTTCCCTTTGCAGGTGCGCGCGCTCCTGCTGCTGACCAGGGCGTCCACTGAGTGAAGAAGCCAGCTGGGGAGTTGCCGACGATCCGTCAGCTGCCCCATCCATTGCAGGGATATGCGCTCAAAAGCTTTGTTCTGGTCGCAGAAGTGGACGGCCGTGCTGGGGGCTGGGCCCAGGGATCTTGTGGCGCTCTGTATGTACTGGTCCGCGGCCTCTTGGTGCTCGCCCAGCAGGGCTGCCCACGATGGCCCGGGTTCGGTGTCGGCCACCGGGTCCAGGGCAAGGTGATTAGTGGCAGATGTGATGTTGGGACCACACTGTCCCCCTCGCTTGGCCGCTTGATTAGGGCTGAATATGGGTTCGATCACGGGGCCAAGCTGGTCGGCAATGGTCGTGCCGTGCAGTCTCCGTAGGCAGGCGGGGAGTTGCAAGGGTCGCATGTCGCCGGGCAACTCAGCGGCCGCCTTTTTGCCGATCCAGACCAGCAAATCAATGGAAGGGCCTAGGACCAGGTCTATAAGATCTGGATTCAGGTCAGCGGCGCACCAGGCCTGCGCGAACAGGCAGGCAACGAAACGGGCCCCGGGGTGGCACAGTTCGCACGGTTCTCCATCCACCCTAGGAGCACTGCCGCTTGGACCCAAGACGAGGGAGGCAATCCTGCCCCACTGCGGGTTGGGGGAGTCCGGGAGCTGCCCAAAATCCTTGTGCTTGAAGTACTCGTCAAGGATTCGGTCCGCAGCTGGGGGGGGGGGGAGCAGTTTGCCAGATGTGGTCACGGCTCCGCCAGGGGACGTCGTCAACTTCCTTCGCGCGTTCCTTCCACCTCCCATCAGTGTCACGCACCCCGAGAATGGCGTGCGTTTTGACGAAGATTTCTCGGCCCGTGCGGTAGTGCGAGGCGAGAGCGGGGCGCTCGACGCCAGGGCCCCTTTGTACGGGGGTGAGTCGAGCAGCCCGTCTCTGAGCAGTGTCGTTGTCCCACTTTCGCAACCAGGAAGCGGCCTGCTGGGGGGCCAGGTCGTTGCCGCCCCACTCGTGCTCGGCAAGCCAGGCCGCGAGTGTCCCCACTGGGCGTGCGCTGGACTCGGATCTCGCCGCAGCAGCGAGCAGGGATACCTGGGGAGCGATTGGTCTTGATCCTGCGCAACTTCCTCCACCAGTCCTGTATGGCCGCCGACATGGCGTGGCGACCAAAGAGTGAGCAGGGCAGGAACGAGGGGGGCGGTGATCGTCCACCAGGGGAGGGGCCAGAGGTGGAGCTGGAGGCTCCTGTTCTCTTTCTCCTTCACCGTCGTCGTTGTCCCTGTGTCTTGCTGGGAATTGACCAAGGGCCGCCGGACGGACCCAGTCGGCAGGTTGCAGGAGTCCGGTCAGGTCGATGTCGGGCAGTCCGAAGGTACGCTCGAGGAAGGTGCAGAAGGCTCTTAGTTCAGCATGCGCCTCGCCCGGCAGGAGGCGCAAGTCACCAGCCAGTATGGTGCTGTCTCTGCGGGTTCTGGGAGCGCCCTGTGGCTCCAGGTACAGGATGGCGTGGTCAGATACTGACGGTTTCCATGCTTTCCTGACTCCATCGGCCCCAAGCTGTCGGTAAGGGCAAGTGTCAACCCTAGTGGGGCCGTCGCAGTGGCAGACGCTCGATCCTGTCTGCGCGAGCAGGTCGGTGAGGGCCGCAGCATCGTCGGTTTCGCTTTCTCTGGGGTTGTCAACCTGTATGTTCATGTCACCCCCCCAGTACGTGGGGGTGTCATCCCATCTCTAGATGGCCTGACGAATGGATCTATGGTTTCGGACTCCCTGGACGGAGGGAGGTACACCGACACCAGGCGGTAGGTGCTTTCACCTCGTCTGATCGTGGCTGCAACGGCGCACCCAGGGACAAGATCCTCAGACCGAACAAGCGCCGTGCCGCGCGGGATGAGGATTGCCACCCCGCCGGCGCGGCCCCCGGCCGGTCCTATGTAGGCAGGCGGTGCGATAAGCGTGCGAGCGTGGAACATGGTGGACCAGACGGCCGCTTCATGCTCAGCCCAGTGGGTCTCCTGAATGAGTCCAATTCTCCCGTTGGTGGTCATCTGCGTCAGAAAGGCGTGCTTGATCATGTTCTTGTGTGCTGTCGTACTTTTTGAAGTATCTGACGCTCCAGCAGCCCAGTTTGAGCGTGCCGGACTGTATGGCGTTAGCAATTGCGTCTACCAAGGTCCGCAAAGACCGATCCCACACATGTCCGCCCATGTGGGGTTGTTCCAGGCGGTAGCGTGTAGGTAAGCCCAGAGGGACCGTGGCCGCTGGACGGTGTAGTTACAGTGCAGTGCCAAGGCACGACCCAGGGAAGACCTGGCAGCTTGCCATGCTCTAGTTCTCGCCCCCGGTACGAGATTCGTGGTCGGGGGAGACCCGAGGGCGCGGTAAAGCGACCCTGGGTCTTCAGGCGAGGTCTAGGGGAACGGCAGCCCGGGCTGGACATGCTGCTGCTGCTGCAGCATGGTTCGTACTATGTCGTCTGGGAAGGGGTTTTCGGCGAGCGGTGCCCAAGGGCAGTTTCTGTCCGCGAAGCTGCGCGCCTGTCTCCATGCGGTCCACACGTGCCTCTCGGTCGGTGCAGCATGCTGCTGTCCGGGTATGGGTTCGTCCCTGCTCCATGCCAGGATGGAGGAAACGAGTCTACGTTGGAGGCACCTTGGGTCGCAATGGATGCCAACGGCGTCGTAGAGCATTCTCCCCCTGATGGCTCAGGACCGGTAGTAGGACCCGAGGCCCACTGCTCGAGCCCGCTCTTCGGGGGATGAGACCCGGAGTCCATGCTCTCTTCCGTGCGCAAGCAGCCATCCTGCCCAAGCCTTGACCTTTCCTTCGCTGGCTAGACTCTCCCGTTCTCTGCCTTGACAGACGAGAGCCAGCCCCTCAGTGCAGCCCTGGAAGCATCGCTCGGCTCCCGTCTCCGCGAGGATGTTCTTGATGCCGAGCCTGGTGTCGGCGAGAGTGCGGAGGAGCCACCTGTAGCTGCTGTCTTCGCTGTACAGGAGGCACAATGGGTGCGTCTGGTAGCTGCTCGGGACTATGGCTTCGGGGGCACTGGCCGGGGCTCTGGACTGGGTCCAAGTGGAGATGCGTCCGTCTGGTCGGTATGTCCACCGTGGGGATACGCGAAGCGTCTAGAATCGTATAGTTGGTCAGGGCGAGCCTGAGCCCGAAGAAAGCCCTCCCAACTCCCAAACGGCTGCGACAGGGCACAACTGTCTTCAGCCACGTGCGTCTCGAGGCCTCACCCCAAATTGTCTAATCCCGATCCTGCGACGTCAATGCTTGCAACCTTGAGACGCCAACAATCGAATGCCAGAGCTCTGAACAAGCCTCCGTAAATTACATGACACACACCTTATTCAACGTCGAGTGATGCCGAATCCGTTCTGAATGCTACTGGAAAGAACGCGAACGTTTGGTTACTCATTTGGGCCGACCGATGCGCAATCCAGCGTGGCGATGACATGCATCACAACAGGGTGTGCACTTACGTCTGCTCACGCTGACCGAGGAGAGTATGCTATCCTTGTGCCAGGGGAAGCCATGCACTGCAGGGAACAACCTCGTGACCTGGCTCGGGAAGAGGCCCAATAATGTACGCGCATGAACCCACGCAAACATCAATGAACGGCATCGCAACGAATGGATGCAAGAGAATGTACTGCAAGCGCCCGTGGGGTCCAGTGTCGAAGAGAAAATGACGGCGCCAAACAATAAACACAATACCTGTGACACCGTGACACTGGTTGGGCAACGGTGCTGACCGACGGCCACATGTAAATCGAAGGATACCACTATGTCACACAATGATCCCAACACACCAGCATGATCCAACCTCGCACGATGGCCAAAATCCTTGAGACGATGACCGCATACTGTCCGCATCGATGATCCTGACTCGGAACTCTGCCGTCACAAGCAACCGCGACGTTGGGTCTCCTGGGCGATCAACGCAACTTCCATTCGATGTTCCGCGCCGGATCAGATTTCAAAAAACTTCGGGAACCCAACCCATCCCCCGCACACACACACACACATCTGAGGAGAGCCGCTAAGATGGGGATTGTTTTTTTGGGGGGCAACCTCCCACCCCTCCACTCCGAACGCCTGAACCTGCGCGGCGGAAAAAGGCTGTCAATCTAGCCCTGTCCCAGAAAGTGAAACAGCCAGAATTTGGGTGATGGTGATGGTGCCCGCAAGAGTGTCCACGCAAGGGGACCTAGCGAAGCGGGGCTGGACGGCCGAAAAAGGATGCGACTGGCAAGAGTATCGCGACTAGCAGGCTCACTCGGGTCGCGTAGAAATATGCTGCAACTCATTCCACGTTGGTGTTCTGGCCAAATCGATCCACGCATCCGTCTCGGCGCGGAATCCAGGATTCGAGGGTCCAGCCAGACCCCTACCCGCTGTGGAAGAGAGGGGAAACAGAGGGAGGAGCAAGAGGAGGAGCCAGGTGAGCCCCCAAGACAGCCATCCCAGACGCGAAAGCGCGGGCGACGGTGGGGCGACGAAGCGGAGAGGGGGAACAAATGACCTGGGATCGACGACAAATCGCTGATAGATCGGCGATAAGACCTCATGGGGCGTCCAAAGTTCGCAAATCATGGCCCGCCGAGGCACGTGCGCGGCACCCTGGGGGGGGGGCAAGTGATGTATGGAAAAACGAAAAGGCGGCCGTGAAATCTGCTCACATATTCCGAGGAACAGCCAGCTCGGAGTAAACACACCCCCTCTTCGGTCAGGGCATACTTCCTGTATAGTGTTCTGTGACCCGAGCCGAGACGTCCGCCTGGTGGCTTCCGAGCCACGCCTCCAGCCTGCGGCGGCCTGCGGCGGCCTGCGGCGGCCCATCGGGACGATCTGGGCACTCCTGGGCGCAGACAAGCGCGCTCCACCACTCGCAGAGTATCTCCTCGCAAATGGCCTGGATCCGCCGCGGGGGATGTACGATCCTCCAGGCACTCTGCGAGCACTGGAACGCGCTCGGTGAGGAAGGCCCTCGACGAGGTGCAGCTGCTGGATAACACCCCGAGGCGAGAAGCCCTTCAAGAACCGACGAAAACGTCCGAGAACCTTCGAGGGACAGCCCCCGCACTCAGCACCCCCTCTGGGCCGCCCCCGACGGCAGCGGCGATGCTGGCGAGCGGCGCCTCCCCGCGAACTCCCTGCCGCGGGCGACAGCAGCACTGAGCATCGTTGAACCGATGCTTGCGATCTGTCGTCAAAAACCGTGCTGAAGAGGATCACAATGGGACCCCCAAGAAGGCCTCAGGAGGCCAAGCACATTGGTTTTCTTCAGGTGCTTGAATGGAAGATTTTCAAAGATCTCGCCTTTTTCGGGCCTCCGACGGCCCAAGACGGCCCACCAGGCTCGACCGATCGCCCCATGACAACAACCCTGACAATCCCCGCTAGCGTGGTCTTGGCCCCTCAGGGCAACGTGTCCACCTAGGTGGGGGTACTGCCCGTTCCTGAGGGTTTTGCGGAGCACATCCCCACTTAGGAGGGCGGGCCGGTGGGGCCGAGTTGCCATGGCCCAGTGGGGATGGGGATAGGTTAGACGATGCTGATCCCCGCAGGCCATGCCTCACCTAGCGTGAGCCCTCCCCGCCCCCCGCCCCGTCTTTCTGGAGGCAAGTACTGTCAGGCTGGGCATGTCCTCCTGCAGGCGGATTTGGTAGACCAAAAAAACATAGCCATAACGCAATCAAACATAATCAAAAGAGCACGAAACATTATCACCACACTATTTCTTAGCATGCTTGGATATTCCTCCAGTAGGAGGACATGTCCAACCTAAAACTACTGGGGAATCGTTGTCAGGACGGCTATAATCCAGACTCAGCCAGATTAGCTCCGACTGGGCTGGATTAAGCGCGATTAACCAGCATTGAACGGGATCCTGCCGGACTAGTTAGACGCCCGAGTTATCCGGGGTAACTCGGGTTTGGGTTCCCGAAAAACGAACCCGAGATAGCCCTGACCCGAGTTACCCTTGATGATTCCGGGCTCTGGACGCCCGAAATATCCTGGGTAACTCGGGTCCGGGATAACTCGGGTTGGGACTCCCGAACAACGAACCCGAGTTAGCCCTGACCCGAGTTACCCCTGATGATTCGGGGCTCTGAACTAGGTCGGTGTCCAGCAACAGCGCTGAGCTTGCTCACAGGAGTGGCATCACAACTTCCTGGATGCCGCCCTGCTTCCTGGAGCTGCGCCAAGGAATCGGTGTCCCAACACCCGAGAGGCTCTCCCGCCTCGAAGACGAACGCCTCCACGTTGCCCAGCGTGACGGGCTCTGGCATGATTCCGCTGTACATGCAGGCGACCGCGGACGTGATGGTCGACGGGACCGACAGCCCGCCTGGGCAGGCCCTGAGTGCAGGAGAGCTCGCCGATCGAGGATGAGAAGTCCGGCGACATCGGACGCGTCGACGACCCCATTTCACAGAGGGTTTAGCGATATAGGTAAAATGCCTCCTTCCCTCACAGACGAGATTGAACATCCCGAGGCACGACACAAACGTGTGCCGACTGGGACTGAGCTCCCGAGAGACACGCTTGTGCGGGAAAGAAGACCGACAAGTGCTTTCGAATCGCATCCAGCCCTTCGGCTACTCGCAAGAATGACTCCAGGCACGGGTGACCCTTGGTGTGCGGCTTGCCGATCGCTGCATGCGATGCGGCAGTGGCGGCTTGCGTGCTTCAGTTCAGCTCCCCCACCGCGCCCTTCGAAAGCCGCGCATCAAAGGCCACCCCACCGAAAGGTCACTCTGAAATCTAGTATCTAGCTGTCGGGTCACGGCTCGGGTCTACAACGTCCGTTCGTGACGGTTCGGGCACCCTCGAAATGCTGTCCGCGAGGCGCAGCTGCTGGAAAACATCCAGAGACAGGCAAGCTAGCAGGAACTGACGAACACGTCGAGGGTCACAAGTCTTTCGGCTCGCCAAGCGGTTGGGCGACGTTCTGTCTACTCCAAGCATCTAGGCGCAGCGAGAGGATCCCACGAGCTCTCAGGTCCCCAAGAAGCACCGTGGAGGAAAGAAGAGCAGTGGAGGAGGCGTGATGGATAAGGAAAGGGGTGGAGGACAACAAAGAATGCTCTGTTCAAGTAGAACCTCAGAACTCCACAGGGATACGTGTTGACCAAATATGTCCAGGAGAATCCAGCTGTGGTGGTGAGGCGTCATCACCTGAAAACGTCGATGCTTTAACCTCGTTGATGCTCTGCTCCTCCTTCCCTCGTCCTTCCCTCGTCCTTCCCTCCTCCTCCTCCTCCGCCTCCTCCTGCTCCTCCTCCTCCTTCTCCCTCCTCGCCCTCCGCATGCCTTCCACTCTGGCAAATCAAGTTTGGGCTGCAGTTCTTAGACCGCCTTTGCTTCAAAACTTCTCGGGGAAAACTCCTGAGCGGAGGCAGAAGTCCTCGGTGGCCGACTGCTTGGCACGCGCCCCCATTCAGAAAGGCGTTTTTCCGAGAACTACAGCTCCAATCATGAAGCTGCCAGGGATATCACCCCCACCGAATTGCCCTTCATCCCCTTCCTCCTCGTCCTCCTCCTCCTCCTCCTCCTCCTCCTCCTCCTGGGCCTGACAACACTGACCTTGGCAAGGCCAACGGGCAGCAAGACTCGACATTAACTGACGCGAAAACAATACATCATTCTCCTCCTGCTGCCCCATCCCGCCCTCCTCTCACTCTCGCCCCCCCCCTGCCCTCCCGCCTCCCTCCTCTCCAGACATCCAGTATCTCGGAACTTCCAATGCGGGAACTCCGAAACATCCTGCCAGGGTCAGCTCCCCAGCTTAGGCAATCAGTTTACCGTTCTGTTGGAACAGCCACTGGGCCAGACGGCCCCCCAAGCCGAAACCTGTGACAGAGCATCGGCCTTGTGTTTTCTCGGGGCGTCGGATGCCTGAGTTGCGGGGCCTCGCAGGTCTGCAGGACAGAAACTCCATGAGGAGCAACAGCCCCTCCCCACTCCTCGCCATCGCTCGGACAGCCACTCGCCGTGCATATGTCGGCTTCGTGCGCGTTTTTGTTCGCAGGATGGCCCGGAATGCTCCCCGATGGCCCTTGCCGAAAGAAAATGCACACGCCCGAACAGTGCCAAGACTCGCCCGCCCGAGCCGGCCTGGCCACAGCGTCGGAGTGGTCAGGGAAGGGCTATGGACCTGGCGGGTCGAGTGGAAGGGGCAGATGCCTCCGGTCCAATTCTCGCCCTCGGCGAGCGTCGGCTTGACGCCTCCTTGCGCTGGCTTCCAGGGGCGAACCTGGAAGACAGCGCACCAAGGACAGGGGAATCCAGCGCAGATCCGAGAAATCCGCGCGGACCTCTGACAATTTTATGACCATGCTGTTTTCCGTCTTCGGCCAATCTTCCGTCCCCGCCCCCCGAGGGGCCCCCCTTGGCGCCCGCGAAGCAGATCATCTCCAGGACACCCTGCGCGACGAGGAGCCTGTGTTCCTGCGGCACCTCAGGCCAGGCTGGTGCGGGGGGGAGGAGGGTCCTTCTCCTGAGCCTCCTGTTGATTCTGTTGGTGTTGCTACTACTCTGGCTTCTTCTCCTACTCCTCTGCTTTCTCGATATCATGCTCCGGCTGCTGCTACTCCTCGTGCTGTTCCTCCTCGTGGACGTGATACCGATGCGATTGGGAGAAAGAGTCCGCGAACGCCGCACGGTGAATCCGTGTCTTGCTATTACGATTCGCGCCGAAATCACAATCTAATCGAGGTTGTGCGCTTCTGGTGCGCCACTATGTTCTGACGTAATTAAAACACAAAACTCCTGTCTACTGCAAATCAGATGGCCTAGACGATGACGACACGGGCTTTCGCCTAAGACTCTAGGGATCCCAAAATACCAGAACAAACCATCGTTCCACATACTTGCAACCTTCCATGCCACTGCCTGGGACAGTGCTGCTGACTCGCTCCCTTTTAAATCAGGAGGTGGTCAAAGACCTCGTTCGGCAAATTCTGCTCAATTCTGTCACGGTAGATCTTCTGGTCTCGCAATATGTCATCGGTTCTAAAGGTCAAATCGTGGAGCGAAATTTGTCCTGGGCGGGAAACAACTACGCAACGGTGGAACAATCACAGCAACGCGCTACTGCAAGAAATGATGTAGTGCCACCAGGGAATCAGGAATGGAACCATGGAGCGAGCCACACTGGTTGAAAGAAATAGCGCGACCAATCACCATCCCTGCAACATCATTCGTGAGCCGACTTACACACAAGAAACATAACGATCGATTCCGTCCAACTCGAACAAGAATTCATGTGGCGTCAACGCAGTGGAAAGACGTATCCGACACACTGAACATGTCGCACAATCGATGCATCGAGATCCATTGGGCTGGGAGCGATGAAGAATACGTGCGTATTTTGACGAGTCTGGCGAATACATGTATCGCGTGAGTTTCGCTTCACATCGATTGATATTTGGCTTTGCACATTGACATCGCCACTTCGCAGCGTGGCCCTCAATGGGTCTGGAAACAAGACACGAGCGGCCGTCCTGCGCTGGCAACCGACCCCATCAACCACGAGTCCCTCATTCCCAAGAACTTGCGGACAAACGGAACGTCCACATCGTTGCCGACGACCTCGGGCCAGGCGGCGCCAACAAACGATGACACCCCCCTCCCCCCCGAGGTCAATCTGGGCATGCCCCACCGCGCAACCACGCACCCTCCTACCCGCCCCGCCCACTTCAAAACCTGGCTTGACGGCCAAATGACCAAACCCTCGACACCGCGTGCATGGGGGTGGCCAGGCGTGTTTCATGTTTGCGTGCCACCTCTCCCTGATATCCCTCCTCGGGGTTCCATGGTCCCGCATGCGGGTGGTGTGGGCGGGGCGAACGAATGAGTCACCCCACCAGCCTTACGTAGGTCCCCCCGCAATCAGCTCATCAAGCCGCCCCCCAGCACCGCAATGCCCCATCTGCCTCCCATGTGGCTTAACCTGCATCGCAAGATGCGTACCCAAACTACTCGAGATGGGCCCTACGATGGTTCCGACGGACATCGGAATGGCCCCACAGCGGCCTTAAAATGAAGCCCTCGAGAGGCCTACAACCGAACTCGCTGAAGAACGCTTCGTTCTCCGTTTACCCCACTTGCTCCAATGATTTTGGCGTTTTTGCTTTGGCGTATTCACGAACTCAGACGCGTTGTAACGGCCCCCGGGAAAGGGTCTAAGGACATGGGCGGCCAAGAAATCCCCAAGAAGACCCCCCCACAAGAAAACCTCGCGAGCCCTACAAACCTGTGGGAGACTCGTCAAACAGCCCGAAGGGACCCAAAGAGGACCCTGACTTTAGATCGGGCATGTCCTTCTACAGGTGGATGTTGAAGGACAAATGAAAAATATTTCAAACAGGTTCAAAGCTACTGAAACTTAATCGAAAAATCGTCCTCCGGCTATTTTGGATTATTTTTGAAGACTCCTCATGTAGAGGGACATGCCCGACTTAAACATACATGGAGAGAAAGAGAGAGAGAAAGAGAAAGATAGAGAAACCATAATGACATGTAATCAAAAAACGATGTGTATCGTGATAACGAGAGACAGAGGAAGATAATGAGAGAGAGGTCAATCGCAATCGACATATAGACATGTTAGCCAGCATGGCCCTAAACCATGGTTTCTTGAAATCGGCACGGTGCGATGTAGGTGGCGCAATCAACGTGGTGCAGTCTAGGTGGTGCAGTCCACGTGGTGCAATCGACGCGTTGCAACACATATGCTGCAATTCATGTGGCGAAAGAACAACACATTGCAATACAAAACCACGCATTGCAATCGTAATTGACATAATCTTTTCGTGGTGGTCAAACACCCAACTTCGCCGGGCAACACAAGTTATGTACTTTGACGGCGCTAGGCACCCGCCGAACGACTTGCTTACACGCGCCGCTGAAATGATTGGTCGCCCTCCGTCGCACTTGGACGTTATCCATTGGCGTTCTGGCGGCCAACCCATTTCAAGTGCAACCCGTGCTGGCAGCTATACTAAAAATGTGATCCTGGGAACGGCATCCGGAATTGATCGCCCGTAGAGAGCTCGCCAAGGAGTCTATTCGAAACGGCCTGTCTAAAAATTGAGCTTGCGCCGCACAGTGCAAGCCGTATGGCCCAATTCGCGTCGCAACCCGAGGACCCTCATTAGCGGCCACGGGCCGCACTGGGGCCGAGACAAGGTAGATAGCAACGCGGGTAAGAACATGAGGATGAGGAGGAGGAGGAGGCGGAAGAACCGGCGGAAAATGAACAACCAGGAAGTATGCCTTTGAGGATTCGGATGGTCGGCCAAAAAATCACGAGCACGCGCCAACGACGCGCACACGCGGTGTTCGGATGGCATGCGAAGTGCACGGGGATCGGTAGTATCATCGCCCTCCTGCCGCCCTGGATCCCATTCGCCCTTTGTCCGACAAGCATACACTGTTTCCCCCTCCCCAGCCTCGTCAGCCCCACCGCCTTCTCCTCTACTACCACCCAGCGGCCGCAATCCCCATTTACCTTTACCAGTCGATGGCGGGAACGAGTGCCATGCACCATCGGGCAATGCGCTCGCAGCGGGAGGCTCGTATTACCCCTACCCCCAAGCCCGGCCGCCGCCCCCATCTACGTTTTACCGATCCATGTGAGGCGCGAGTGCCGAACGCAATCGGACTGGGGTCCCGCGCGATCCAGCAGGGGGACCATGGTCCTCTTCGCTCCCCCCCTCTTGCCCAGATCGTTCCCTCCGCCCCCCGTCCCCCCGCCACTGACTCTGGACGGCGCGCTTCTCTGCGTGCCCGCGGAGCCAGAATCGATCGATGCTCGCTGGACTCGCTGGAAGGAGCCAAAGCAGAACACGGGCAGAACGGATTGCCAGGGAGAGGGTGCAAAACCCTGCAGCGACACGGGGCGCCCCCGCAGACTCGGGCGCCCAAATTTGACCCATGATCTTGCCAATGGGTAGGAAGTCACCGACATTGGCGCTGACCCCCGCGGAACCTCTTGGACGAACCCCCGACCCCTGCCCGGCCACTCTTGCCTGGTGTGCAGAGGGGGCCAAACTTCTTCTGCACATTGAGCAAACCACCCAAACGGCTGTCTACAAGTAGAGCGAGCACCTGTTTACTCCAACTCCCCTCGCAAAAAACAAATACAGAGCACGGGGGAATAACATGTAGAGCCTGCGCCGGTTTCCCCCCAGCGATTACCTAAAAGAAACTTTGCATGCACACGTACGGGCTATACCTGTTCACCCTGGAGCCGCGCCCGGCCTGTTTGCCCTGAGCGCGTGCGTCGGCTGAGTAGCCGAGGGCGCGCCCTAGATGCTTGCCTGGCTGGTGCTCCACGGTCACTGTGCACTCCATCAAGGACATCGGCCAAGGTAGGACATCGGCCAAGGTTAGCAGGTGTTGCCCGCATTTCGCCTTCAAGCATCAGCGATTGTCGCTAGGAGGGTGGGGCGCAGTGGGAGAGGGGAGAAAAGGAGCAGAAGAATGCGAGACAGAAAGGCAACAAATGGGGGGGCGGACGACACTTCGTGGCAAGCGAATTGTCCGAATCATCCGCGTCGTGGCCACTGGCCGACGTGGGCAGGGCGGACGGAACATGTCCCTCGCTATCCGCTGGTCGTCCTCCTCCGTTTCCTCCTCCTCCCCGTCGTTGTCGTCGTCGTCGTCCTCCTCCTTTCTATGCGTTAAACCGACCTAAGGTTTCCCTGTGGCGTTCTTGAAGATAAAAAGCAATCGGGTGCGACTCGGTTCAAGATGTACCTGGCGGGCGCCGCGGAAAAATGAGACAGGTGTCGCTCAGGCCGAGGAAAATAAAAAACGAGTAGGCACCCGCCAGGTCCTCGAGGTGGGCACTCTCCTTAGCAACTATGAACCCCCATGTGTACATCAAACCCCGAATACTTATAGGTGGTGCCACCTTGGCAAGCAAGAAACAATACATATATGTCGTGAACGACGATGTTTTTCATGGATGGTGCTAGGTCTCCTTACACGTGGGCAGACTGATCACGCATGGGGCTTGGCACCTAAAGACAAAAACATAAACATCAGTGGCACCTCAATACGCGCATTGCGTTTTAGGGTTTTGCAAGGCCACCCCGAAACTAAACTGGAGAAAGGTGCCGCCATAGCGTCAAAACGGGAGCAAAAGACGGAGGGCGTAAAGCTGAACAGTGACGGAGGAAAGAGTGGCTGCAGTTAAGCAGGCTGGCCTGTATGTGGAGGCTGGCCCATTGCAACTGGCTGAGATTGAGTCATGCAAGTGAGCATGCTGTGCATCAAGAAAGGTGTCGCTGTGGCGACAAGGTAGGGCATGCTCTCGGCGCCCTCAGTGCACCCCCCATTAGCCAAGCTGTGTAAGGACCACCCAACCACCACCGGAGCATCGGGACGGCGCAATGGGCGAGGACAATTAAAGGTAGCGCGGCAGAAAGGTGCGCCGTGATGCACAGCAGTGACCGATGCGAACGCTGCGCGCTGCAATCGGGGTTCAAGATTGGCCCTTAACCTTCCGAAAGAAGCGCGGGATATTTGGGCTGCGACCTAGGGTTTTGAAGGATTGCCCCGAACCTGCGCGGGAGAGATGCGCCGCCGTCGCGTCGCGCGGGGCCGCGAAAGACGGAGGGTGCAGTGCAGAACAGCGTCGGGAGAGAGAGTGGCTGCAGATAGCAGGGTGGCCTGCATGTGGAGGCAGGCCTGGCGCGGTCGACCTGAAGTTGCCACGCAAATAAGCATGCTTCGCCGCAGAGAGTGTCGCTGCGGCAAAGGAGTGGGGCATGCGCTCGGCGCCTTCAGCGCGCGCCCCTCCATCCTACCCCCCCCGCCCAACCTCCGCCAGCGCACCGGGGCCCCGCGAGGGGCGGGGGCATTTGAAGGTAGCGCTGCAAACAACTTCCATGCGCGCAGTGATCAAGCGCGCGCGCTGCCATGCGGTTTGAAGGTTGACGCTCAACCTTCCGAAAAGAAGCTCGCGGTCTCTGGGCTGCGATCCGGGTTTTGCAGGGCCACCTCGGACCTGCGCGCGGATAGAGGCGCCGCCGTCGCGTCGGTCGGGGCCGCGAAGAAAGACGGAGGGAGTAAAACTGAACAGCGACGGTTGAGCAAACGGCTGCAGATAAATCGGCTGGCCTGCATGCGGCAGCCGGCAAGCAGCGCAGCCATGCGAGTGAGCACGGAGAAGCGGCGGCGAGGAAGACTGGGACTTCAAATGGGAGGGCACTACTACGAGTACCTGTGTGCCCGTGGGCTTGGAGTAAGAAGGAGGGAGCGCCTGGGGCGCCGCTCAAAGTCGGCTGCTAGCGCCTCACCACCATCAGGCACCGCGGACGCCCTACACGACAAGTGACACCTCCCGAGAAATCTTTGCGGTAGCGCGCGTGGCCTGAGATCAGTAGCTTGCTGACCTCGAGCTGCGCTGTGGGGTTTTGTAGGAGGGCCCCGAACCTTGACGATGAAGAGAGCCTCCTCCACTTCAAAAAATCGCGCAACCTCCGCCAGCGCATAGGGGCCGCGCAAAGAGCAGGGCAATTTAGGGTGGGCTGCAAGAAACTGTGAGATGGCACGCGCAGTGACGAAGTGCGCGCGCTGCGCGCTGCAAAAAGATGTCGTGGATGACCCCCAACCCTCCGAGAACAAATGCGCAATCTTTGGGCTGCGACCCAGGGCTTTGGGGGACTGCCCCAAACCCGGGCACGGGCGCCACCGGCGTGTCGGGCGGGTTGCGAAGGTGAGGGAGGAAAGCGAAGGCATGCTGCATATCAGTACCCATCGGTCGGAAGAAGTAGGTAGAAACATGAAGTAGGAAGGCGTTGGAAATAGATTGGGTTTCCGCACGCCTCCTGAAGAGGGAGGAAGAGGGAAAACCACTCGACTCTTGAAGTAGGAAGGCGCTGAAAGTAGATTGAAATCTGGGAATCCAAAAATACCTACTTTCAACGACCGATGGGTAGTGGACCAAAGTAGAGGATGCTACAAGTGAACGCGCCTGTGCTCTACTGAGATCAGGTGTGGTTCATCTGCGGTAATTGGTCTGGAGGAGGCGCTGGTCGCGAGTGTCGCGGTAGCCCTTGTAGCATGCTGCCCAGCACTGGTTGCGGTGACATGTTGGTCGCCATCTCGATTGCGCAGACTGGTCCACGTTAGCGGGCGTCGGTTTGGATTCGGGCATTGCCTTGTGTAGCGTTGCCAGTTGTCTGGGCGGTGGCCCCCTGCAGGGTGCTCGAGGCGCGAGTTCGCGCGGGCTCTTGAGGCGGGTCTAGCGGCGGGCCTGATGCGCGCGAAGTCTGTCGTTGTAGTCCTGGAACGCGGGGTCGCCGACCTTGTTGAGGAAGGAGATGCGTCGGTTGAAGATGTGGATCTGCTGGTCTCCCCGCCTTGCTGCTTCGTGGTGCGCGGCGATTGCTCGCGCTGCAAAAGTCGGGAAGTAAGTGCATCGCGTTGCAAGCGTCTGTGGAGCCAATGTTGGGCGTTGATGTCCTTGCCTGGTGGGTAGATGATGGGCATGTTTGGCGTGGGTGGTGGCGGGTGTACCGGAGTGAAGTAGTGGGATGAGGGCCATTTGGTCGTGGTAGTGATTGTGGGCGAAGTCGTGTTTGGTGATGCTGGCGCGAAAATGTGATTGGGCGTGGTCGGTAGTTGATGCGCTGTCTGGTTAGCTCGGTCAATCAGCCGTGCAAGTGGCGCAATGTAAGGTCGCTGGTGCGTCGTCGTTGCGATGGTTGCGTAGTCTTGCTGGCGTGGATGTGGGGCATAGGTTTGCTTAGGATCGGCCCCCGTTGCGCTTGCGTGTCGGAGTGCATGGTGTTCTGCTCTGTGACTACTGGTTGAGTCGGTCCGCTCGGTGCGTCAGCGTTTCCTCATCCACCTCGTCCTCCTCTTCCTCCTCCTCCATCTTGAATCTGCAAACAGGGCAAAGACTATCCGCCCTGTCTCCCGTGTCCCGCGGTTTTGCCTCCTCCCCATTCCCCTGCCCTTTTATCTATGTACGGGGGGGCACGATGCGTGTGTGTCAAATAATACCACGCGGTCACTCTCGCGCGTCGGCCGCGCGCGCATGCCGAATGCCTTCCAAAACCTGCACCACCGACGCGAGGACACCGTCATCATCGCCGGCGTAATCAGCATCGGCGCCGTCACTGGCCGTGCCGTCGTCGCTGTCAGCATCGTCGCCAGCATCGCTACGATCATAATCGCGTCAACCGTTGTCGACATTGCCACGATACCGCGCCCGCCCAAGTAGCCGACTCGCACTGAAGAGCGCCACCGCGGCCGCGTCGGTCGCGCCAAACTAGGCGGCCGCTACGCGCGCGCGCATGCGCGGGCTGGCGCGGCCGCAGACATGCACCGGCGAACGCCCAGCACCCATTGCAATCGCCGCCGCATGGGTTTTCCAAACCAAGTTGCGGGTGGGTGGATGGGATGTTTGCGCGAGCAGTGGAATGGACAACTCACTGCGAACCAAAAAAAAACTCTGCCCCCCCCAGAATTATCCCCCCCCAGAATTATCCGTACCCCTTTTCGCAATGCAATGTACACACGATTCTGCCCCATCGTCCATCCGACGTATGAATTCATACCAACCCAGCCGAGCCGGTATCGACCCCCCCACCGCCATCCTCTGCAAAATAATACTTTGCGGGTGCACTCGTTGATCACAAATCACCAATTTTCAAAATCCCTTGCAAAAAAACGAGACGAACTGCGCACGCGCACGTCGTCGCGCGTGCATGCCGAAATCTTTCAAACACCATCGGTTTCGTAAGGATGTCAATATCGAGTGTCTACGAACATATTAAAACACGTGACTTCGCAGCACGGATGTTCAAAGAAAGCTTTCGCACGCTCTTACGAATGCTTGAAATATCATCGGTTTTGAACATCATCCTAAAATGATACCCAAAGGGCTTCGCGCGCGCATGGCGAAATCGTTCGTGGGGCTTCGACCCAGCGCGCCAGCCACACAAAAGGCGCGCAAACGACCTCAAGGTCCGGAAACAATTCTCCAAGACGGCTCAAGATGGCCTCCAAGAGGGTCCAGATGGCCCAAGGTGGTTCCAAGTTTCCCATAGATGGTCCAAGATGGCCTCCAAGACGACCCACGAGGGTCCAAGATGGACCAAAACGGCCCCAGAGGCCTTCGAGAGGCTTCCAAGACGATCCACGAGGCCTCCAAGAGGTGTTCCAGAAGGCCCGAAGAAGCCGAAAGCATGTTCCTTAGGTTTTTGAGGGATTGTGTTTCTTCCTCCGCTTTCGTGCTCCGACCGCCCAAGACGCCTCACTGAGTCCCCAAACATCGTCCCAGAGGCCTCCAAGATGGCTCCAGAACGGCCCGAGAGGCCTCACGCCAGCCCCAAGAGGGCCCCAACACAGTCCAAAAGGCCTCCAAGACGCCCAACATGGCCTCCAAGATGCCTCCAAGCCGGCCAGGATGACCTCCAAGACGGCCAAGATGGCCGCTAAGACGGCCAAGATGGGCCAGAGAGGCCCGCAAGATCGCCCAATGATCGTTCAAGACGCCTCCAAGATGGCCCCATGACGGCCAAAGAGGCCCCCAGACGGCCCTGTGAGGGCCCCAAGACGGCCCAGAGGTCTCCAAGACACCCAAGATGGCCTCCAAGACGGCCCTGAAACGCCCCAAGACGGCCCCAAGTCGGTTCAGAGAGGCCCCCAAGACGGCTTCCGACGGCGTCAGACGGGCCAGGAACGCCCTAAGACGGCCAGAGAGGCCTTCAAGAAGTCCCCAAAGGCGCCTAAGAGGCCCAAGGGGCCCCCGACAGGCCTCCAAGAGGCCCTCCAGAAGCTCCCAGGAGGCCCCAACAGTGCCCTAAGAGGCTTCCAAGAAGCCTCTTCCTCCTCCTCCTCCTCCTCCTCCTCCTCCTCCTCCTCCTCCTCCTCCTCCTCTTCCTTGTTCCAAACCGACTCGGGGAACACATGGTCCGATGGCTTGGCCAGTCTCTACCCAACTTTCGGCAACATCGGCATTTCCAGAAAGGCAAGGGGCGGCGGCAATTCGCCGTAGGCGTCTTCGATACACTCAAACATGTGGTCTGCCAGAGACGTTGAGATTTCCCAGATGACGTATGTCCACAACATCCGCGTCCACCACACATCCACGTCCTTGGCTGAGCTGGAAAAAACAGGACTTGGCAAGCGCCTGTGGTTGGCTTGGCTGCTCTGGCACACATTCATGTTATCCTCTGCGCATGTGCTGGTGCAGCGGGCACGGGCGTTCTTGAAATATCCACATCTGCAAACCGCCTACGTCGTGCGAGCGCGAGCGCAAGGATGGGCAACAGGAACAAGAAGTAGGCACACAGAACATGCAAAGTGACGGCTTCATGGAGAATGGTTGTCATAAGACATTGCAAACCCATTTGATCCATTCGAAGATCGAGTATTGGCAGAGACAAACGTGCTCTCCGACGTGCCATCGGCAACAAGTCTCTTATTCACCTCTCCGTGAGGACTGCGCAACAATCACGCCCATATGTGAAACGATAACCTAAGACCGAATCATAAAAACGAATCGACACTTGGGATACATCGGATCGGCGTACATCGGGAGGCATATTGAACAGCATCGACATCGACACCCGGCGGCACGAGCCGAAGACTTCAAGAAACGCAAACCGAAATCGGAACTCGGAGTCGAGTCGAATCCAAATCGAAATCCTCGAAATCGAAATCGATTCGAACCGAGAAAGCCGAAATAGCTCCTGGCCCCTAAGCGTTGATGGGGGGGCGCGAAGGAGGAGAGACGTCTCCTATGATGTCGCACCCCGCTGCCAGCACGCATGTGCAAACAAATCCCCGCTCCTGGGGGAACTCGATCCTGGGAGCCGCTTCTCTTGCCGATTCCTCTGCCGCTGCCATCGAGGTGGTGCCGGCGGCGGCGGACAGGGGACGCGCAAGACGGCCTTGGCATCCTTCGGCCAGTCCTCCTTCTCCTCCTTCCTCTCCCAGTCTTCTTCCCTCGTCCTTCCTCCCTTTTCTCCACGTTTCCTCCTGCATCAGTGTCCGATGTCTGTGATTGCCCTTTCTCATGCCTTCCTCTCCCCCTCCTCCTCCTCCTCCCTCTGCCCATCATTCCTCCTCCTTCCTCCTCCCTCCTCCTCTCTTTCTTCTTCTTCTTCCTCATTAGGGCGGACGGCTGAAGCCCAACCAGGATGATGGCGAGAGATGCACGGAACAATGGAAAAGAGAGCAGCAGCGGCGGCCGTGGGGGAGCACGTTGCCCGTGCCAACACTCCTCTGTTCTGCCCTTGTCACGTGCGGCGTACACGGTGCAGAAAAGCCTGAACAGCGGCCCTTCCCGAGCCAAGCTCGGTATTCACCTCGGAAGGGTGGACACTGCCTCGGGTCCGTGCGAAAAAGACACGCCTCGAGAGATTGGACAGATCCCACGGGCCTTTCACCAAAACGGTTACTGCCACAAGCGGCGCGCGTGATTTTTTGGGGGGATGGCGGAGACCAGGGGAAGAAGGCAAGCAGCAGGACGACATTTCCCCTTCCTCCTCCTCCTCCTCCTCCTCCTCCTTCTCCCTCCTCCTCGTCCTCCTCCTGTTCCTCCTCCTCCTCCTCCTCCTCCTCCTCCTCCTCCTCCTCCTCCGCTCCTCAATCCTCCCTCCTCCACCCTCATCCTGGTCATCCGCATCATTCCTGCTGGTATAATTCCTCCCCAATTATCCCTCGTTCTGCCCCTTCTGCTGGCCACCCCTCCTCACCCAGTCCTTCTCTTCACCGACATCCGCCTCATCGCTCCTCTTGCTCATAATGATTACCCATCCTTCATCTATTAGTCATTATCCTTACTCTGGCTCATCCTTCGAAATTATTCTTCCACCCGCCTCCTCCCAGCTCCTCCAGCCTCCTCCCGAATCCTCTTTCCAATCCCCCCTTCCACCACCATCGTCTTCGATCCTCCTCAGCATTTGCTTCCGCTCTCCGCCTGCCCCTACGCGCCACTCCTCTCTCAGTCGTTCCTTCTCCTCCTCGCCTTCAAAACACCCTCGATCTCATCTACAAAGGAATCGAGAACCATGCTGGGCATTAGTGACTTACCTGCTGGTGCTGGTGGTAAGTATACATGCATACATACACCATTTATAGAGGCACATGTATGTGTATACATACATACATACACACATACATATATATATATACATATATATATATATATGTATAAATATATATACGCTAGAACCACACGCGCGCGCTACGCGCGCTTAGGTTCTAGTCGCAGATAAGCCACGGGTGCCGTTGTAACCCCGGCCGTGGCCACAACGACGATTTCCAGCGTTCTCGGGCCCATGCCACAGACGCAAAGAAACGCATAGTCAGACGCGGGGCGCCACGTTCCATCGCACCTCGCAATCTCGTTGCCGCCTTTGTTCGGTTTATCGAACTGTGCTTTTTCTCCACTTGTACTTCCGCTCTGCCCCGTTGCGACACTCAATGTTTTTGCACACCTGCTCGGTCCCCCCATGCCCGATTACGCAGACATCCGCCGGCTCCTGATGTTGGGGTTGGCTCGGGCTTCGTTGAGCGCGTGTGGGAACGCGTTGTTCCTTTGTTCATTTTCCCTGTGCTCCAAGCTTCTCCTTCACAGCGGTCGTTCAGCTGTCGGGTATCTGCAGATTGCGCTCGCAGATGCCCCGGGTATCTGCAGATTGCGCGCGCAGGTGCCCCGGTCATGAGTGCCCTTCTCTGCAATCAGTTGTTGTCGAGTCCGTCCACTGGAGTGGTGAAGCTTCTTTGTGCTGGACGCCAAACCTCATGCCGGCGATAACCGCACCCGTAGGAGCAGAAGGCTCGGGCTCACGGGGGATGCTCAATGATTTGCCTGGCAAGTTCCATGTATGGGGTTGCGTGGAGCTCTGGCCGGGCCTCTGGCGGTACCCTGCTCTCTCTGGCGGGGGTTTCCCTGGCGCTCCGGCGGGGCATGCCCAGGAGGGGAAGGAGGAACACAAAACCTTCAGAAACTTCTCGTATAGCCACATCACGTGCGCTCCAACGGGGCTACCTGGTGGGGAACAAGGACTGTATATGGTACAGCAACACCCCTCTCACTCTGCTGGGGCCGCCCTTGAGGGGTGGAAAGGGGCAAAGCAACTTGTGAGCTGATATGGTATAGCGATACCCCGCTCGCTCTGGCGGGGCCTGCATGGCGCTCTGGCGGAACCGTCCCAGGAGGGGAGGGGGAACCACGAAAGCCGAGGGGTGAGGGGAATGCAAAGGGAGGGGGCGGGAGGGAAAGAGGGACGGAAAGGGGGAGGCCCGGGCCATCTGGTTCGTCTTCGAGCGCCCTGGTGCCTCCCGCTACCGTTCTGTGGCCCATGTTGGGCCTGTCCTCGGGCCTGTTGGGCCGTCCGGGGTTCCTCGTGGGCAATTTGCAAGCTTTCTGGAGCCGTCTTGAGGCTCTTTTTGGGCGTCTTCGGCGGTCTTGGGGGCGTCTTCGGCCGTCTTCGAGCATTGGAAGCTCGAGGTTGCGACAAAGCGAAAAACATTGATCAAACCAATGAAAATCAATGATTTGGGCCTCTTTGGGCTCTCTCGGGGCGTGTCTCGGAGCTCTCTTGGGCCCTCTTGGAGGCCTCTTGGACAAGGTTTGAAACGCTATTGTGCGGTCGTGGGCTCTCTTGGAGCGCTCTCGGGCCATGCGCCTTCTTGGACGTCTCTCGGCCCCCTTTCACGTCTTTGGGCTACCCTCGCCGGGCCCGAAACGGCCGGAAGACACATCAGTGCACTCTGCGGGCCCCGGGACCCTAGAACCAGGCATGCGCTTCGCGCGCGCTTAACCGGACGACCGTTGACCTGTCGTCAAGCGATGGGCCAAGAAAAATACAGCGCTAAAGCGCAACGTTGCATTCTGCTATGAGTGTGGCTGCGGAGCAATTATTTTTCCCCTGCGGCTAGGATCGACCCTCGCGGCACTCTGCACCAGAAAGCATTGCTCCTCCGAGCCAGCGGGGCGCGCGCCGACAACGCGCTCCCCGACCGTCGGCTCGAGGAGCAGCAGGAGGAGGCAAGCTGAGTATCGTTTAACCAATCCATATCCCCACTGGCACGGCCTGGGCCCTGCTGGTCGATTTACACCTAAAATGCAGATGCAGGTCAACATATCTGTTTCCTCCTGCCCCTTCCTCATTCCTCCTCCTCCTCTCTCATCGACCGGTCGACCGGTGATCTGTCGCCAAGCCATGGGCCAGGAAGAATGCAGCGCTACAGCGCCATGTTGCACAATGCTACGAGCGTGGCTGCGGAGCACTTGGGGTAATCAACGAAGCTCGTGTCAAGGAGCCCGCACGTGCAAATCTGCAGAAAAACAACCGTACTTTCCCCTGCGCCAGGATCGACCCTCGCGGCAATCTGCACCAGAAAGCATTGCTCCTCCGAGCCCACGGGGCGCGCGCCGACAACGCGCTCCCCGACGATCCCTATCCCCACTGGCATGGCCTGGGCCCTGCTGGTCGATTTACCCCTGAGATGCAGATACCCCCCTACCCATGTGTATATATGTATATATATATACATATACAGATACACAGGACTGCAGTGGCGCTTCGCGCCATGCACCTTGGTCCTTGAAAATTGCTATGCAGGCGGAAAAGGCAGGAAGGTCAAGCGGATACTTTAACGATAACTCCTTGCTGCCTTTTCTGGCATCGCCGTTATAATAATGTTGTTCGTTATCCTTCATCCATGCTTATTTTTCCTCATTCTCGCCATACCCTGGGCATTCTCCCCATCCTCCTCAGCTCTTTTTGCGGAGGCTCCTCCTTGGAGAGCCTCTGGGAACCTCACCAAAGTTCTCAAGCTGTTTCGAAGCCTTCTGGAGGCCTCCTGGGCGTGTTCTGGGGGCCTCTGGGGCTTTCTAAGGCCAATCTGCCTCTAACCGCGGTCTCCCTGAACGCCCCGGTCACGATTTGGAATGCTTCGGAGGGTGTCTTGGGGCCATCTTGGGCCGCCATGGGGCTCTCTTAGGGCCATTTTGGACCCCTGGTGTGCCATTTTGGGGCTCTCTTGGACTGCCTGGAAGCCCTCTCGGATGGCTGTGGGGCGATTTTGGAGCCTCCCAGGCGACTTCGGACGCCCAGAAGACCGCTGTCTTGGAGCGTCGGCAAGCCGAAAAGAGGAAAACCCCAACTTCACCAAAAACCTACATTAAATCAATCATGTTTCCCTCTTGTGGCCTTCTTGGGGATGCTCTTGGAGGCCTCTTGGTACGTTTTGGAGCGATCCTTCGGGGTATGACGGCTTCTTGGAGCGCTCTTGTGCTGCCTTAGGGTTCTCCAGGACGTCTCCGATGACCCCCCTGATCGCCCTAGGTGTGCTGCGAAGGCTTGGCAAAACGCCCTGCGAGGCCCAGGGGGCCGCTTCGAGGCCCGTCCGAAGGGTCTCACAGCCCCAGATCCCGGGAGTCCAGCTTTTTTTGGGGGGGGACGGGTTTCCCCCCCGCCTGGGCTTGTAAAAATGTAGGAAGAGGAATATATATATATATATATATATATATATATATATATATATATACACACTCTAGAACCACGCGCGCCCTTCGCGCGCGCTTAGGTTCTAGTCAGCCCCAGCCCTTGGCAAGTTCACGTAGTCACTAAAGTAGTTACCTATACATGGGTGGATCATGGGGTACCGCATCTATAACGCGGGCACAACGGATACGAATTGCCGACAAGGACCTTTTCAATAATATTCAATGCGAAGATATGCACACCATTGACAGCAATGGTGACCAAAACGGCAGTGCAGCGCAATGCATTGGAATGGAATCAAATCATATGCGGGTCGAATGCGGCCCGAAGCGTTACAAGCACAATT